TCCCCAGCCGGCTTCCTGCCTCCGAGGCCCCACCGCGCACCCCAGGACCCAAGAGCCCTTTGTCCCCCATCAGGCCTCACCTCCCGGCGAAGGTCCTAAGAATTGATTTCCTACCACCAGCGCCTGCTCCCAGGGACGTGGGAAGGATGGGGGCGGTGGTGGGGGACGCTTCAGTGCGGCTAGGGCCCAGGCCTCGGAGACCCCTAGGCCTCCGCTGGTGGGAAGCGGCTCCCCCCTGCTCGCTGCCCTCAGCTCTGACTTGGGATGAGGGGGTGTCCAGAGGGGTGCCCGTCCTCCAGTGTGGACAGAAGAGCGGCCTGAGGCCCAGCAGGGAGTGATGGGCTGCGGAGGGTGTCTGGGTTCCTGGTCCTTCACGCTGCAGAGCTTGGGGAGTAGGTTCCTCTCCGCTGGGGGCAGGGAGCTGAGGTCCGGAGTGGCAGAAGTTTGATGGGTGTGAGCTGAGGGGAACGGGCTTCGGAACTTGGCTTGCCAGCCGCGCTCCCTCGCACCCCTACTGCCCCCAAACAAACAGAAAACGGACACATCCGTCCACGGGCCCCGCTTTTCTTTCCTCCCCAGTTTCCCTGCAGTTGCCTCCTCTGCCCACTTCTCCTGGGGCACCTTCTCCCGCGGTTGCCTCTCGAATGCAGAAAACACTGTCCTGGGACCAACTTTGCAGAGTCCAACGGAAAAGCCACGCAGACAGAAAGCTAGGAGACGCAGCCCTCAGTCACCGTGCGTCCCACAGGCCTCACTACCCCCGGTCACGCGTGTCCCCAGCGAGGCCCAGCCAGCTCATCACGACTCTAGCCAACTTCCCCAGGGGTGGCGGCCAAACCCACGGCCTCCACTCTTGTCCCAACAGCCACCTCTACCAATCGTCATGCCCTCCCCCCACCTCCCTGGAGAGGGAAAGTGCCGGGAGGGCCCAAGACTTTGGGGCTGTCCAGCTTCCCCCTAGAAGTTGGGCGGCAGAGAACCCGGGTTCTGGGCAAACCCTGGGGGACCTGGGCTGGAGTACTGGGGACGCCGGGTCCTCCCGCTTCTCTCCCCTCCCGGCCCGGCCTGCAGGACCGTCTGGGACTTCCTTCAGCGGCCAGGGTTCCCTGAGGTGGGGCTCGGCCAGGCTGGGCCAGGGGCTCCAACAACTTTGAAAGAATATTTTGTTAGGGGAGCAAACAAACAAAAAGTTATGAGTGCCAAGTCATTCTCTTCAAAATCATGTGCTGTGGGTGATAAAAACTGAGGTTTATTAAGGCATGAGATTTCTCAAGAGGAGGAGGGGAAGAACTCCCAACACTCTGTAGCAGGATTTGCCTGAACCTTAAAGCCTGGCGACTTACAATGGCTAATTTGTGTTACACACCCGCAAGAAACTTTTTCTTTTTCCTATTCTCCTATGCTAAACTCGCCAGGTGGCTCTTTTTTTTTTTTTCTTTTTAAACAAACCCGGAGGAAACATTGGTGGGAGGAAAAATATAGGCTCCAAATAAAAAAGGACGCAGATTCAAATTTACTCCACAGCAAGGTTTCTATCGCCCGAGTTCTGTACACCGAGAGTTAATCGCACACAATTTATAACAATCAACATCCTCTCCATATTGCTCAGATGGGGTCCTAATGCCCCCCTGTCTTTCTAAAATCAGTGACAAGTGAATCTTTGTGGGGCATTTATTTCCTTTTTTCTAGATGACAGCTCCCCGTTCTGAGAGCAGAGAGCGGTTTGCCGCAGCTACCGACCACTCCAGAGCCAGGGATCTTCCTGCAGGAACCGCATATGGAGTCCCCCACCCTCCAACCCCCAGACAAAGAGCTATAAAAACTCAGAAAGACGTGGAAGGAATAAACTTTAAGATATAGGTGCACTTTTACTGGTGTATTAAATAACATTTCAGACATTTTTTTTAAAAAAGAAATACATCTTAATGTTATCAACAACCAGAATTATAGGAACAATAAGAGAGGCCGGGGTTGTTTTGATGGGGGTATAATATTGTTTCTAAAACCTCTAACAGCTAAGCCAAGCAGAGTTGTTGTTAAGGTAAAGGAAAAGTACTACACGATGAAGTTAATTAACTTTTTTCTTTAAAAAAAGAAACAAATTTCCTAGCTTCCCACCAAATACAAGAACAACGTGGAAATATTCTGATTGTTTCTTTATCTCCATAACTAAGCAAAGCCTTAAAGGAAACAGAAAAGCCATTTTCTGGCACTCCTGTGCCCACATAGACAAGGGGGTATTGAAATAGCTCCAGCCCAAGTTCTACAAAGGTGGGCAAGTTTATTCCATGATTTGCTAGTGGCGAGCCCCTGCCACTTTGAATTATTCCCCATCCCAAATCAAGTGCTGGGAACAGGAACCAGGAGCCCTGGTTCTCTCCTGCCACCCACTGCCCCCTGTTAATAGATTATGTTTCACTGAAAAAGTAAACTTTCCTGAATGGAGAAAACGTTTCTATAAAATTTAGCTGTACATCTCATTTAGTTTTATTGTCAAGATTCATTCCCAATATTTCAAGATGCATCTTTTACTTTCATTTCAAATGGACACAGTGCCCTTTGCCTCACTGAAATAAACAAGCAGACCCAAAGAAACACTTTTACCTTTGACCTTCACTTTACCATCCTGCCATCTTTTTTTGGTACAAACTCCATTCTTGACCTCATTCTTTAACTTGTCTAGGAATTTGATAGAATCTAGAACAGAGTCCTATAAACTGATTGAAAAACCAACAAAGACGAATCACAGAGGCCAATGATCAAAAGATAATTTCTCTCACTCAGCAGCCCAGCACTCCGAGCTGCTTCCATAGTGAGGCAAATGAAAGGCGAATGAATGCAACATCTAGACCTACATGTGCAGGTACCAGTGCCATCCCCCCCCCCACCTCATTGTTGCTGATGCATCTCTTTATTAATTGTTTTTGGAGAAATAAGTAGAAAGATAAGCGCCTTTATTAAAGCCATTTCACCAGAAAAATAATTGCCAACCGGTGTGTGGCTCCCACTGGTAGGAGCAGGAGGGCAAGGAGAGAAGTCCTTTTGTTGCTGCATCTGAAATATAGAGGAGGTAACTTCGTGGGAACCGAGAATGTTTAGAAGTGCCAAGCACAATAGTATTAGTGGCCATTCCCTCCATCCGACCTTCACATAACTCCCACATGATCCTTTCTCCCTCACCTTACACCATCAATTTAAAAAGTGACATATTTTGAGGAAACACAGGAGTGCTCTCAGGATGGCTGTCTTCTGCATTATTGTCTTTAGGGAAAAGAAAGGGTTTGTCATTGTGACTAGCCAACATTTTAGGGGTGACTGCCCCACAAATTTCTCCCAGAGGCAGTGATGGAGTTTTTTCACCTTAGCATGTAATACACTCCCCCACACGGCATGGAAACCGCTTGAATAGCTTAGAATCTGAGCGGCAAGCATGGGTCAAAACCATGGCGCGTCCGTTTAACACGTGATGGTTGCCAGTCAGTAGCCCCTGTGGCTAAGAACAAAAACCGCCTTCTCAAGGTCCACTAAAATGCCTGCAGAGGGCAGATGCTGCTTGCTTTCTGCCTACAATGGAGGAGGATATTGACCCAGAACTCAAATCTATAACCCAGCTTAAACATTTCACCCATCAGCATGTCTGCGGTCACAAAACACTTCTTCTTTCTGTCACTTTGCGTTCAGGCTATTGATAAGATCATTTGGCTGAATCAGTTTGGGACCTGTGTAATATTGACTAGGAGTTAGAAAAGATGATCAGATGTAATAAGCCCAGAAACTACCTTTCAAAATGGACATTTATACTAAAACCAATGTTCCAAGGAGGACTCGAAGTACATCAGCAAACTTGTAAACTAACCCAACACTGCTGGGATGTCTCACTAACCTTCTCACTGATTTTGGTAAGTGTGATGTTCATCTGCAACTATGAAACAATCTGTTATTAGCACCACAGTCTTGAGTGCTCCCTAGGTTCTTTCCTTGTTTTAGAGGCTGTTTGTTTGCCTAATGAGAAATAGACACTATTGTATAAACGAGCACAAAACCCATCTTTTTCTCTGTAAACCTAACAGGAATAATACATAGGACCTGCCTCTATCACTTGGTAAGCACACATATTGCATATAATCAGAGTTGTTTATTGAAAGATCTTTGCAAACCACTAAGAAGAATAGTTTCCTTAACTCAGCCTCGTTTTCCTGTAGATCCAAATTATGTGAGGGCATGTGGGGACAGATTAAAGTCCACCTAGTTCCATTGATATTCTCCAAAAAACTAAAATCAGATCAGGTAACGCTACCCTGGAAAGAAGATGCAGAGAGAACTGCATTTATTTAGAGGGGACAAACATCTCTTTGTCAGACCATGAAATGGCAAGCAAATTGAAGCTCAAACCCAATGGCCATTTCAATTTAATGCTATAGGCACAGTAGCTGAATGGTTTGGGCTTGATGGCAGGGGAGGTGGTTTGCAAAGAAAAGTGAATGAGAATAGTAGTCTCACTTAATAATAATAATAATAAAGCCTCTGAAAGTTACTAACGTGAAAGCTGGCAGTATATGCATAAAATTTATTCCAAAACTTTAGGAAGTATAAAGGAAAGGAAGTGTTTTACATACAACTCAACTCAGTCAGTATAAGGTCTAGGTTTTTCCTCTTAAAACTTGGCACTATTTTTAAAAATAAAATAAAGATATTTCAATAATTAGAACAAACTATGAAGGTATTGTGCATTTCTGTTTTATGTAGATAATAAAATATTACTTTAACATAAATATATAAGGATCTCTGCGTTTTTATTTTCCCCACAAGCACAACCAAATGTACCAAAACAAAGTATTTTTAAAGAGACTGAACAAAAAAAATTACATCCCATATAGATTTTGCTCACCTACTCATTTAAAGCTACAGAAAAACAGTTTCCAGAACCTTTTTGCTTTAAAAGAAATAAATATACATTGAGGCAGGCCACTTAAAAATGATATGAAAATATTTCCCTGGGTAGCATTAAAAAAAAAAGAAAAATAGACAAAGAAACATTTAAACTATTTCTGCATTTCAAAAGACAGATATTAAACATATATACATAGTGGGAAGGTTCAGTGGTAGCTTTCATCTTAGTAAACCTCTGAGAGTTAGAGGAGCTATAGACACATCCCCTGAACCCCAGCTTCTAACCTTACCCACTTGGTAATAAGAATCTGAAAATTCATTTCCTCCCTTTACCCTTGGCTATTGCCCTGCTCTGGATTGCTTCACTCAAGGCCAGTCCCCACACCTCAGGAGCAAGCAGTGTGAGGCACCAGCAGCTCCATGCCCATCTCCTTGTGACATTCATTGGGGGAAATGAAATACAGGCAAGTAAATATGCCCATGATAAGTCATCATTTATCTTGCAAAAACATTGAAAATGAAACAATCACTGGTGTTTGAAAAGACAATCTAAAGCATATTTCCTAAAACCTTAGCTACTAAGTGCAATGCTAATCTGATGCTGAACCATAATTTTATGGTATTGAGATTTAATTTTTTAAATAAAAATTTACCTAATACCTAACCAGAAAAAAAGCCCCGATCTTTTAAGATTAATAAAAAGTGTTTTCCCTTTTAGCGCCCTTTTGTGCTGATTACTTTTAAATATTTTAACTGATCACAGTTTAATGGCATTTATTTTCAATACAATTACAGTTTTGTGTTTTTTTTTTTTCACCTCCACTTCCCAGTAGATTCTTTTGTTATGGGAGTTATCCGTTTTCCATCAAGATAAGGTAAAAAAAAAAAAAAGCACTTGAAACTATTAACAAAGGGAGAAAGGGAAGGATTGAAAATAGCATTTTTTCCCCCTTCTACATTTGGCTTCTTTAGTGAAAGAGAGGGTGGGTGAAGCTGTCCAAGTCAAACTGGTATTTTCTGTAATGAATTACAGGAGAAGAAGGTATGCGACCTTAAATATAATTTGATATACAAATGAGCTAGTGAAAACGAAACCAGTCTAGAGTGGAAACACTGTTCTCTGTATGCATGTGGGTATTTGTGTGCTAAGAAACACAGTCGAGGCATACACCATGAAGTTCCCAGATTATTTTCTTTATGTTTTTTTAAAGCTATTAAAGGAACAAAGTTTAACTGCTACTGTCAGCACAAATAATTCCTTCTAAATGAAGTTATTAAAACTGAAGGCAGAGAACTATACAGGGGGTGTCTGGAGATATATATTTCCCTAGTTCTCTTCAAAGTGCCACTTTCTTTCTGTTGAAAATGTACTTAACCTCCACATATCCTCTGAGCGCTATCACAATGGGCCCGCTTGGTAAAATGAAGCAATCGGTCACTCACTATCAATTTTTCTTCTTCTCCCCTCTGCAACCTCCCCCAGAAACACTGCCTGAAAACGAAGTTTACTTTGTGGTTGATAACAAAAAAACCCCAATGTTTGGCTCTCATTTTTGTATTCCAAACTGGATTTTTGCCTTGTTAAAGAGGGTAGACCATGCACGTTTCCTGAAAGCAGAGAATTATTTATTTTGAATGAAGCCAATCGTTTTTTTGCTTTGGTAAAAGAAACAAATAAAAGTTACACCAATGGAAGGGAGGAGAGGGGATCTGAAGGTAACCAAAGTTCACGAACAGTAAGAACAAGTGGCTACAGGGAACGTTAGAAATGGAGAGTGGCCAAGAGGAGCTGGCGTCAACTCTTTCCTCTGAATAAACAAAACAAAACACAAACCGCGGCAATTTCAAAATTAACGGTGGAAGAAAGAAAAATGTGTTCATGCATTTGTTCATGTAAACTTCAATTTTCTTGCAGTGCAAATTTATGTGGTTAGATTTTGCCTACGTCAAAGAACATGTGTATTTTTTCCTCTTTCCTGATGGGGATCCACATTAAATAAACACAGCAGCATGTGCCAACTCCCGGCATTAGGAAGCTGTGTTTTGTATTTATCACGGCTTGGTAGATTTTTGTTTTTGGTAATTTATTTAGTTTTGCCCGGTATTTCTCTCTCTCTCTCTCTCTCTCTCTCTCTCTCTCTCTCTCTCTCTCTCTCTCCTTACTCTGTGAGACACTCCATTGCCTGGGTACTAGCCTGTAAAGGTCAAAACACATCATTACACCTGCTACCGTTTGGATAACCCAGTGCCTTCGTTGCTTTCCTTATTTTTTTTTCTTCTTAAGGGACGGGGAAATAATAATTAAAAATAAAAGAACAATCAGAAGTTAGAGAGGGAACAAGGGGGCCAGGAAAGGGCGGTGGGCCGAAGGGGAGGGGGAGCCCCACGCTCTGCCCCTCCCCCGCTCGAGTTCACTGGACGGGCGTCTGCACCCCATGGTGTGGTGGCGTGTCCCTACTCCCCCCGTACACATCCTCGGCGCCCGGCAGAGTCCCTCCGGGAGGGGTCATCCTTTTCTCTTTCTGTCTCCTGTTACAAAACCAAACTCTCACCACCTCCTTCTCCAGCTGTAAGCTGTCCGCGAGGGAGGTGATCTCCTGGGCCGAGGGCTTGGGGCATTTGAGGAAATGGCTCTCCAGAGCCCCCTTGACGCTCACCTCGATGGAGGTCCGCTTTTTCCTCTTGCGCCCCTGCGCTGCGATCTTGTCTATGCTGGTGGGGCTGCCCGAGGACGAGTCCGCCTCCTCCAACCACTTGTTCAACAAAGGCTTCAGCTTGCACATGTTCTTGAAGCTCAGCTGCAGGGCCTCGAACCTGCAGATGGTGGTCTGCGAGAACACGTTGCCGTACAGGGTGCCCAGCGCCAGCCCCACGTCCGCTTGGGTAAATCCCAGTTTGATCCTCCGCTGCTTGAACTGCTTGGCGAACTGCTCCAGGTCATCCGAGGTCGGCGTGTCCTCGTCCGAGTGAGGGTCGTGGTGGGCGCCGGGGTGGCCTGGCGGGCCCTGCGGGGGCGGCGGAGGGTGCCCAGCGCCAGCCCCACGTCCGCTTGGGTAAATCCCAGTTTGATCCTCCGCTGCTTGAACTGCTTGGCGAACTGCTCCAGGTCATCCGAGGTCGGCGTGTCCTCGTCCGAGTGAGGGTCGTGGTGGGCGCCGGGGTGGCCTGGCGGGCCCTGCGGGGGCGGCGGCGGCGGCTGGTG